ATTTTTCAGTAATTTTACGTTCGCCGTTATAATCCTACTATCAGTAAAAAAAATGTCTGTTATTTTACGTTTACTGAAATCCAATTTACTGTAAAAATAACGTAACTACAGTAAAGTAATATTTTAACGGTATCTTGTATAATAAGAATACGATAGATTGTTGATTTGTTGTAGCCTAAATTACAAGGTATCATATCGTTTTTCTACAGGTTAAAATTGCCATTGTGTTTTAACGTCAGAGCTCGAAATTTACACTATAAGTTGGTGTAAATTTACCTACCTAAACCGTTAAGTATTGTACAGTATTAAGAAAGAAAAGGAATTGCTATGTGAATATACGATGGATTCGTAAATTTAATGTGTTTGCTGATTAATTTTACGCTGTCATATCACTGTTATCCGTAGTTTAACAGGTCAGAATCAACATTAAGTAAATGAACATCGGAGCTCGTAAGGCTAAGCGTAATTTTACAATTTCAAAACTTCTTTTAAATAAAGAGTAGGTCTACTAGGCCTAGGCATACGTATAACGGTGTATTTTTGTAACAACGATGATATTGTGAATTAAACGCTGACATTATTCTGCTAATGTCATAATATTTCACCTACTACAAATTGGCGTAAAGGAGGCCTATTCCACCTTGATCGTGTCAAATATTTTTTAATTCCTTGACAATTATATATTTTTAAACATTGTTATTAATATACGTTCCCTAGCGTAAAATTAAAGTGAAAACAATTTATTTGGCGCGCTTACGATCACGTGACATCTCAGTTTATGACGCATTATGACACACGCATGCGTAGTGTGTCGACGTTGAGGTGCGGACAGCCGCATGCAGTGGTATGGAAGAGGAGAGCACATGTAAAGTTCGTTTACGACTACGTCGGTTATTTATCTTGGAAAACAAAAGGATCAGTGAGTTCAGTAAGTTTTCATTTCACAAGAACATATATGGCTATAATATATCCTTTTTTTAATTTCCAATTATTAAGGCCTATAGGCACATAGTTATCTTCGGTAAAGTTAAAGCGACCTAGGCCTAGGCCTACTGATACTGTACTACTACTAATACTAGGGCTAGGCCCTAGGACTGGGCATAGGCCTAGGGCCTGGCCGTAGGCAGGCTAGTTGAAGATTGAAAGTAAGTAGGCAAGGCCTAGGACTTGCCAGGTTTAGGCCTGATAGTGTACCAAGTTAGCTTAGCTAGGCTACTGCAATGAAGAGCAGACATTCAAGACCTGGCCATCAACATTTGGGAGCGATACTTTGATTACGAAATATAAATGAAACGATTTATCCTCTCCTCTGCATTTTGACACCTTTTCTAAAAGAATCTGTTTTCCAACAAAAAACAAAACACGAAACTAAAAAAAAAAAAAAAAATAATGATGTACGAAAATGTGTATAAAAAAAAAAAAAAGTACATCATTAATCGATTCCTTGCCTTGGCCTCAAACCTACAGGGGTATAGACTGACACCAAACTCACCATCATATCATTTATGATTAGGATAAAAAAGTTATATTATTTTGAATTATTTCACATCTGTTAACTTGTGAATTTCTTTTTCCTGCACTCTCTCAATTTCGTTTATTGGCATGCCCTGTTCCGGTTTTGGACCAATTTAAAAAAATAAAGGTGTCAAAATACTGAAGACAATACTTTTTCATTAAGATAATTATGTACATTTGATATAATTCACCCATTTATAGCCCACAAATAATAACTAGAGTTGCAATCCCATAAACCGAATTCGAAAGAAACATTTTCTACATTGTTGCAATGTTAGAGAAGTGAAGTGAAAATACCTAATAAATTGAGCTTTTTCAGGAACTTAATATCTTTCAGTTGTCACCTTTTGGATTTTAAAGACTAAAATTATAAGATATCTTCCAGTTTTCACTTTTTTTATTTTAAAGACTAAAATTTTAAGATAAGGGAAGCAAAATTACACTTTCATTCAAAATTTCCACAACTTTTTGTATGTAAAAATGAAATCTGAACACTGTTTTAACATAATAAATATCCATAGATGTATGTCAGTTATTACAGATAATTATGGAAACTGTTAGTGATTCATGTTTTCGAATTTTGATGAAAGAAAAACGTTTGGGAAAACTGGATGAGCTTGGTTTGGTCCATGAAGCAGATCTTGCACTAGTTACGGAAGGATGACATTCTAAAGGCCATAGATGTGCACAAGTGTAGTACACATTTTATGAAAGGTAAGATGTACTGTATGGATAAGATGTGTTGCCAAACAATAATTGTCCTTTTATTCTGATTATGATTGTTTGGAGACTGTATGATCCAAATGAGTTTGGCATTTGACAAATTACCATGCTACTTTTCAACTTGCCAGAATTTAAACCACAACTTTTGATGGTTAAAATATTTATAATCTTCCAACCTTTGGAAGAAAACTATTTAAAAAATATCAATGCTTTTTTAATGTTTAGACGTAATTACACAACAAAATATATGCATTGATTTAGTTACAAGATACATGCTACAATTATGTGTCCAAAATCCAGGATGTATTTTTTTTCTTTGTCTGAAGTTTTAATTGTTTAGTGTTGTGTTACTCAGTCCTGAATTTTCTTTCCATCAGCAATTATGTTCTTTTTTCCAGCAAAATGTGAACAAAAAACACTCCAGAAACTTTATTCCCATTTCAAGCCTAGGAGATTTATCCAGTCCAGAGCGAAACTCAAGTCAAGAAGAGTACCTTGATCTTCTATCACAGAAGACATTTTTTGCCAACACTCCCAGGTACGCAGTACTGTACTGTATATCTAGTTCTAATTAGTAAATGTAAAAGACTACATTCAAATTGAATTTATCATCATCATCTGGTACATTGTTTTGTCTTGGGTAGATATTATGTACGTTAATTATTGCCATGAATTTGTTATATATTATCAGTTTTGTCTATCACTCTCTCAACATAGTGTCCAAAAATCAAAAGCCACTTTTTGAGCTCAACATGCCAAGCCTGACTTTATAAGGCCCTTTTGTTGCTTGCTAAAATAACATGGCCCTTAATAGGGTATGACTACGATTATCTTATGTATTTATTGCCTTGGGAAAACATGGGATAATACAGTAAGTTGATTGTGCATCCAGAGGTGACGGAACTAGAGGATGCTGTGTTATGGAGAGTAATGTGTGACCGGTGGTCTGCATCAGTTGGTTGTTACCATGCGCCTAGTCGCCTTTCAAAAATGTAATATTGAGTGGCCATTATATCTTTGCATGATCTAAACTATAGGATAAGAGTCCACTAGCATGGTGTTTGGGATGTTATGTGGTGTAGTAGCATTGGGGTTAAAGCAATGCAATTTTTTTTTGTACAGTAGTTACTGTGCTGTAGATTAAAAATATTTTAAATATTGATTTCTATAGAGCAAGGGAGTCACTTGGACACAGAAGCATTTCAGTCTATGATAGTGGAAACAATCCTGATGATGTCTACTGGAACAAGGTAGCTAATCAAGTTAAAAAGTATTTTCAGAAAGGGGAATGACAACTACCTTCGTCAGAAAGAATTAGCTGGTCCGATATTGTTGATGACTC